ACTTCGGTTACTGGACGGGAACCAGTGTTTCAACGTGATACGGCCATAAAATCTACTTGCACGTGCACACAGATTTTTTTTTTAATTTATGTGATTATATTGTACACGTCAAGAATTCCGGCCTTTAAGATCCGATTTCGTCGGAAACTAATATAAACTCATTTAACCGTGGTGAGTTTCTTTAAAGATGCACTCGTAAAACGCGTGTTTCAATTTCGTTCTTCATTATCTAAAATATTCAAGATTTATGGATGACAGGCTGAAAGTTTCCGTTTTTATTCCCACTGAAATCTCGACAGGAGCTAAACTTCTTTATCTTCATCCCTTGCATTAAAACTTGCTCCTTTGAAGATTTGCACTTTACTGCAAACACTTTCAATGTTTTACATGCGATGGACAACTACAGGTTTAGAGCTTTATAACGGAGAGTTACACACGCTTGTTTAACGAGCAGATTACCTCATGCCACGGATGGCGTCCAATCAATAGAATCGTTCGAATTATAATTCATTGAAAGATTTCTGATTGCTAGATGTGTCTACTGACACTTTTATCCATTAATATCATCATATCTATCTATCTAGCTAGCTAGATATCTCAGTCTCTTCAAATCTATTTATGTATTTACCCAGTCTGTTCATATCTATCTATCTATCTATCTATCTATCTATCTATCTATCTATGTGTCAGTCTATTCATATCTATCTATCTATTTATGTATCAGTCTATTCATATCTATCTATCTATCTATCTATCTATCTATCTATGTGTCAGTCTATTCATATCTATCTATCTATCTATCTATCTATCTATCTATCGATGTCAGTCTATTTATATCTATCTATCTATTTATGTGTCAGTCTATACATATCTATCTATCTATCTATCTATCTATCTTAGTCTCTTCAAATCTATTTATATATTTACCCAGTCTGTTCATATCTATCTATCTATCTATCTATCTATATATCTATCTATCTATCTTATTCTGTTCATTGTGTATCTTTTTTCTTTTCTTTTCTTTTACTTGTATATGAGGAGGTGCTCCGAGAAATCTTATTAGCGACATATCTACGCTCTCCGACAGGAATCCACTAAAAATAACGTTTAAAATGAGAAAAATCTGTCGAATTAATAAAACCAAATCCATTCGAAAATTATCTTTGTTTACGTTTTCATACGAACCTGTGCAGATATAAAAACCCTCGAGTGATTCTATAACAGAAAAAATTTCGCTTGAAAGCGCGAAATTTGGAGACGCCTGACCAACAGAGAGACGCAGGTTCGATTCCTGCCAGAAAGCACAATTTTTTTTTAATAATATTTCTCGAACATTCAGGCCAGTAGATGAAAAACAAGTAAATATACTATTTAATAAATAAAAGGAGCGTCTACTCAAATACGAGTATCCAGTAAAAATAAGGTTTAGAATGATAAAAATCTATCTGATTAATAAAACAATCATTCCAATATATACCGGGTGTAACATCAAAATTGTCCAAATCGTGTCACAGAATGGGATAATTGTCCTTCCCACAAAATTTTTAATAACTCAAAAAAACCCTAAACTAATTGAGTTTCTTTTTTCCAGGTTTTCAGATAAGACGTTTAGCCATCTTGACACCACTTGTAAGAATCACTGAAAAACCCTTTGAGTTATTCAGCTAAAAAGAGAGCAGGTTAAAACCGTTATGTGTCAGTCACACTATGCCTTCCCATCTGAGCAATGATGAGAGGAAAATGATCATTCAGATCTTCAGCAATGGTAGCAACATTCATAATCTAGCTTTCATCTTCAAAGTCCATTCAAGAACCATCAAGAGAACGGTGGATAAGTTTTAAAAAGAAGGAACAGTAGAGAGGAAAACTGGATCAGGAGGTCACAACAGGAAAAGGGATCATAATTTCAACTTAGAGCTAAAGAGATCAATTAGAAAAGATCCAACTCAATCTATAAGACGCTTGGTACGTGAGAGATGAGTTTCATCTATAATAGTTCAAAGAGCAGTGAAAAAAAGACTTGAAAATGAAATCGTAAGTGAAACGTGTGACGCACTTTGTTACTACAGGACAGAAAGTTAGAAGGTTAGAGAGGGCGAAGATCATCTTGAATAAGTTGGAGAATAATCCTGGAATAATATATCTATATTTGAACTTTATTTCAATTCTTCATGGGCTTCCGATACTTACTTATGGTTAATTACTGATGAACATGTCATTTTCGTTTATGATCGATTTCATCATGATTCGGTTGTTAAGCTTGGAGAGTAATTATACATTTTTATCGTTCAAAGTAGAGTCCAATAGTGTTACAAAAACCTCGGAGAATTCCAGTAAAATATCTTTAATCATTTCTATGATACAACGGTTCATAGCTTAATCTAACAATTGGACAATTTTTTATTACACCCGGTATACACACACAAACAAACAAACACACACACACACACACACACACACACACACACACACACACACACACACACACACATATATATATATATATATATATATATATATATATATATATATATATATATATATATATAGTTGTATATTTAGGCAGCAGTACTACAGTTAAGCTTTTTATTTAATTTTTCTTGTGTTCGAACAAGAGCTTTCTTTTCTGGACAAAGAGTGTGTAACAACTGTCCAAATGTTTTATCGTTCCGAGCCAACTCTTAACAATATTAACTATGAACAAGGCCACAATGGGCTAACCGTATTCGGAAACTAAAAACATCCCTACCACACACAAAGACATACACATAACGCACACACTCAATTAAGCTGAAAAATTGAATCATCCTTGATAATGGCTAAAGGTATAGCCGAAAGCGCTCGGAAATATAAAACATTTGGACAGTTCTTACACACTCTTTGTCCAGAAAAGCTCTTGTTAGAAGACAAGAAAAATTAAATAAAAAACTTAACTGTAGTACCTGGACTGTCGTTTTTAATGAAACATGCATATATATATATATATATATATATATATATATTTGTAATCCAACCTAGAGTTGAATTTCTTCCATGCTTCAAGGAATTAATATTGGACAAAGATTGCGATGTTGTTCGCATCCTCCAAGTTTCTCATTTCGCCGACAATAATTGTGCTACCAAGCATCGATTCCCGCTAAAATGTCACGTCAATTTCTTCGTAGCTGCAAGGCACGTTCTCCAAATCGACGGAAACATATTTTATTAGCGTGTTGCATGCCCGAATAGATAACTTCATCTCTTCACTCAATTATGAAGCAATCGTTTTAATCAGTAAAGGGCAATGAAAAACTCTGAGCAAAAAAAAAAAAAAAAAAAAAATACCCTGAAGGTCTCTTTGTAGTCATCTTCATTCTCAATGATGCTCATGAGGGGCGTCTCTCTTGTTTGGCTGGGCGTCTTTTCGCTTCACTGCTCCGATGAACGGGTCAACGTTTTTTGGATAATTTTGCAGGAAGCTTCCTACTCAATATTAGAGAATATTTCGAAAGGTTTTACAAAGACAAAAAAGGACCTATGAACCTGCTTCTGTATAATGTAAATGTTGAGTAATCTTAACTTCATCTGGCTCAAGGTTTCAACTTCGGAGCATCCAGTAAGGATTGAAAGTAAACAGTCCCAGCAAGCAGTGGGCGAAATTAACGTGTTAAGGCACCTGATAAAAAGTTTGCTTTGGCACGGTTTATTAAGTTTCGCATAATAGCTATTTTGTAATAGGACATTCACTTTTATAGTTCAGAGTGCATGTGTTTATATAAATGGATTCCAGAATTTTAATTTTTTGCTTCATATTATCTTGTAAAAGCACTGATGCATTTTCGACTAATACCTACCTAAACTGTGAATGATGACATATGTGTTCCTTTAAATGTTCTGAGATTGAACTATGATCGTTCAAGTGAAACGTAAGCCTTCTCATCATCGTCGTTGTTGTAAAACCAACATACGTATTTATATTTTTATCAGCGATGCAATCACCCAGTGGACGTTTAAATTGACATACGATGTTGGTCTTTTTTAAGACGCTTGTTGATGGAGAAGAGTTGTTTCCGACAACTATTTTGGTTGTATTAAATTTAGTATAGAATATAATTTTATTTTATTTTTTTACTTTGGTCAGTGGGGGATATATTAGTGTTTATGAGTCTTTTTAGAATTTTTTCCTCCTGTTTATAATTAGGATGCATTTGATTACCGTGATAGTAGTTTAATATGTTTAGAGTTATTTGATGACGTTTATATTCATTTTTATTTATGTTAATATTCATAATAGCTCGTTTAATTTGCTCATCAACGATGTAATTAAGAAAGGTATTATTAATGAGGGTTTGTTTAATATTTTTTAATTCAGTATGGAAAATCTTAATCGTTGAAAAGTTTGCTTTTGCACGGTTTATGAAGTTTCATATAATAGCTATTTTGTAATAGGGCATTCACTTTTATAGTTCAGAGTGCACGTGTTTATGCTAGTTGTTTTTTTTTATATGGGGAAGTAGTAAGCGTATTATTAGTGTCTATCGATACATCAAGAAACAGGATTTTATTGTCGCTATTCGTACCAACTTAACAACGACAATAATATCCCGTTTATTGATGTATTGATAGGCATTAATAATAATATATATACTACTACTCCATACATAGAGTTACAATTTGTCCTATGCACGACTTCACTTATATATACATATATAAATATCCTTCACTTTTGTTATGGATAGGCGTTTAACTCTCACGTTTCTTGTAAAAATGGAGAATTAGACGTCAGACTAAATTTGTCCACGCGGTTTATAAAAATGCAAATGATTTGAGTTTCTATCGTTTGTCTAAAGTCCTTACTGCCATTCATTTTCAAAATGAGTTAGAAAAATTCATTCCTGTTTTTTTTTTTATGAAACACTAGCTTCTAAACATTTTATATCAATCTTATATGCGGAAACAGTCTAAACGTTTCCTTTAAAAAATGAGTATTAATGAAAAGCCTAAGAAAAAGTGGAAAATTGTATTTAAAATTTAAACAAAAATGCTTACAGAAGATTGATTTATTTGCTTTTTATGGATTATCAACCCTTTGTGGATTATTTAAAGCCGTAAAATTTAAGAGTTAAAACCCTAGCCATAACAAGGACATATATGATAGGCTAGTAAAGATTACAGGTTACGTAAAAATGTTTCCTCTACTGAGGAGGTATGATTGTCTTTTTAACTCTTAAAACCCTTTATTTTGCAATCAACACCATCATTTGACAAGACACCAGAAGTGTTGAAACAAATTTGCAAAGTTTTTGGTTATCGGAATTTTATTACAGCTGTATCAACCCTGTACTTATATATATATATATATATATATATGTGTATATGTGTGTGTGTGTGTGTGTGTTACTCTATAATCTCTTTCTCACAGATGCAACACTGTAAGCGTATTGTTATTCCATGGCAAATATTCCGATGAGCTCAAATCTTCAGTTCAACAAATTCAGACCTTTACTACTAGAACCCATAATTCTAGTTGGCGTGATTAGAGTCCTTCTGTTGTGTACCGTTTAGGCATTCATGGCTCTCGACAATATCTTGTCTTTTGTTTTTCTAACATTTGAAACTTTACTATCACTGTGCATACTGATATTTTTTTGCTATTCTTCGTACTCCTTGTTCTGCTATTCATTTACACAAACTCGTTAGGATGGGAAGTTGTGGAGAGCTATGATCGTCAACGTCATGAAGAAGGCTCTCGTGACAAGCTAGGAAAAAAGTTTTCAAGATAGTTGCTAAACGGTCACGATGCAGGGATAGTTAGTTTCATGACTTTTTGAAAGGGCAATATTAATACAAATAGTTTTTTTTTTTTACTGCAATCTGAATGCAGTTTCCTCTGTTCCATTTTGGTAACGCTTCGCCCCTACCACGACATATTCACAAAGTAGAGTTTTAATGTTCGCAAAATCGAATAATGAGGAAATCATCTCATTTCTAAAGCAAAAAAAAAGCCATTCTGATAGAAAGTTTTAGAAAAACGAAATTAAACCTTTGCTTTCATGAATCTAGCTTTTGTTTGTCTTTGATAAGTTTTGTTTTTTTCTTTATCAGCCAGAGCAAAAATTACTGTCCGTATTGGGAGATAACGGATCAGCAAGAAAACGAACCCAAGATCTTAATTGCTGTGTACTAGCAACGGAAACAATTCGTAAGTGTCGTTCTTAAAAAGGCTTTGATTCGATATCAAATCCTTTAAAGTCGGACTTTTATTTAAGAAATTACTTACACGTCCTTAAACAGCTAATCACACATCGAGTAGATTGTAGAGGCGATTAGCCAATGTAATTTGAAGAAGTAATTACTGCATACAATAAAATTGGAGACGTTGAATTTTGCGGAAGAATGATTTCAAGTGGCTACAGTATCTTGCCAAAGAGGCTCTGTTTAACATAAGTGTGGCATAAGGCTAAATTTGCGAATGAGTAATTTTGGAAAATTTATTAATCTTTCAAGTGAAGAGGATTGAGCGACAATTCAAACCTCCAAGCAGGGAGATATTTGTAAAGTTTACATTAATCTGACACAAGAAAGTAATGGCAAACCACTCAGTGCGGTTCGATTAAATATGGGGCACGGGTACAACAAGTGAGGATTAGTTTATTAATCATTACACATCAGCAGTTCCTTAAATATAAACAGTCAGTAAACTCTCTCTCTTCCCCCACCACGCACATGCATATATATATATATATATATATATATATATATATATATATATATATATGTGTGTGTATATATATATATATATATATATATATATATATATATATATATATATATAGTTAATGCTGTTCATATATTTCTATCTATCGATCTGGAGGCGTATTGGGGAATTGTTTACAGAAGGTCTAGCTCAAATATCAGCATCTGTGTATGAATTTCTGGGGCTTATAAACTTCTTCATCAACCTTTTGTCTTCATCAACTATTTTTACCAGTGCTCATATTGCAATTTTTGCTGTTATTATCATATTTTTTTTACCAGAGCTCATATTGCAATTTTGGTTCTTATTATTGCTTTTCTCTGGCACTCCTTGTTACTGGTTCCCATATTGTATTCATTTCTATGCTTGGTCGGCTCAGGAGATTTTTGTGGCCTAGCATAGAAATTCATACACAGATCTCTTTAAGGACTCATGGCACAGTGGTTAAGACGTTGGTTAAATCCAGTGACAGGACTCAAAGTGTTGTGAGTTTAATATCTGGTTATGAGAGTCGAGAACGTGGAGAGGTGAATTAACAGGTGATAACTGATAACTGATATCCATTAGACATTGCACGTGGAACTAGAACAATCTACCCAAGCGCGCAAAATAAACGGTTCAGTTCAACATTTCAACCACTTGAAGAAGGCCGAAGCGTACAACGATCGAAACGTCGTGACAAATATGGCGACAAAGATGAGGACAATAATCCGAATAATGTAAATAGTGAACATAATACCTCATCTCAAAAATATAGACAGATATCATATCACACACACACACACACACACACACACACACACACACACACACACACACACACATATATATATATATATATATATATCATATGAGATAACGATACATATTTTTATAAATCAAGAACAGTATTGAAATTGTAAGGCAAAATGGAAAAAAGATTATTTTTGACGTGTTTCATTGGTTAGGACTTCATCAGGACAACCCAGTTCGATTAAGTTCTAACTTTGTTACGACTACGCATGCGCATGAACGAGAGACGCTGGTAGTATCAAATTTTTTTCAAATAAGTTTTGCAATCTCGCCAACTTCATTTATATTCGTGTTTCTTTACATCATATTTGCTTTTAATTTTGTGAAAAAAGAAAATCTGCAACACACAGAGATACACACACACACAGATACACACACACACAAACACATATATATATATGACTAAAGACACACACACGCACACACACACACATATATATAAATATATATATGACTAAAGACACACACACAAAAGAAACGCACACACACATATATAAATATAGATATGACTAAAGACACACACACAAACAGACGCACACACACACACACACACACACACACATATATATATATAAATATAGATATGACTAAAGACACACGCGGACACAAACACACGGACACAAACACACGCACACACACACATATATATATAAATATATACATGACTAAAGACACACACACAAACACACGCACACAGACATATATATATATATAAATATATATATATGACTAAAGACACACACACACACACACACACACACACACACACACATATACACATATAACTAAAGACACGCACACACACATATATATATTATAGCAATTATTAGATAGGAGTAACGGTTATCTTTGAAATTATTCAAAAAGGAATAAAGTGGAAATAATCGTGAACCAGAATGTGGTTTTATTTTGTTGCTTTTATTGCTATACTGGTATGTAGGATTTTGTTAACTTTTATCTCATCATTTATTATAAATTTCTTCAGGAATTTTGTATTTATTCATTCATTCCTGGTTATTATTCTTAAAATTACTTAATGTTGTTATGCGGGCATTCTTACAGTTTCTTAATTTCTCTATTATTTATTTACTTAATTTATTTATTTAATAATTATTTAATTTATTTTTTCTTTTGTGCGGTTATTTATATATTTATTTAATATATTGGCTTTGTTTATAGTCTATTACATGATCTTCGTTTTATATACAGGATGTGTTTGCATTTTCTTGGTAATATTTTACAAGTTATTTGTTTCTAGTTCTCGATTTTTAAGCAACAGTAAAAATTTGTATTTGTGTCTTCATCTTGAGATAAGGTTTGATCGTTTATTTTGTGATTTGTGTTTGTCTGGGAAGGTAGTTATAGCTGTTTTCTCTTCCAGGCAAAGTTTACAGTTTTTGAATATACTTTTGTTGGCTGGCGCCGTTTTCCTCGCTTTCCATGATTTTGTTGGTATATTTTTTAAGTTCCCGTATATATTTAGAAAGGGTTGTGCTGTTCGCGTATTTAACATTTGTAAAGGATGTTTTGTGTGTGCTGTTTCTTTGTTACCAGAGTCATCTAGTTACCGCTATTTATATTTTTCTTCGTTATCTGCTGTTTTTATCGTGGCTTCGTATAGTATATCCCTTTGTAGAGAATTGCCATTTAAGGGACATTCATACTTTGCTCTGTAGTTACAGGTGGGGTTGCAACTGTAGAACAAAGCATGAATATGCATGTGTTTGGGAGTCTGTGTGTGTGTGTGAATGATAGATTAATATAATCGTCTGTCAGAGGATCTCCTTTTAAGAATCGAATTCCTGATTCCACGAATTATATTGTCAAACCTTGCTCTATAGCAGATTTCGAGCTTATATCCAAATATTACGTTTGTCGGCCACAAGGAAGCAATAGTTGCTTTGACGATATTTTTATAATTCCATGCCTCTTTTGAACATAGGAGAGAATGGCTTTCCACACATTCCTCGTTCTGTAAATTGCTATAACTTCTAGGGTAAAGTGGTTGCCCGTTGCCTTCTCCACAATTTTGAATTCAGAGTTTTCTTTCTCTTATACTGGTCGACACCCAAGGCCAGCGAGCCCAGCTTACCCTATTATAGATGGAATTGGGCGAAAAATGAAATCAGAACTCAACCAAGGGTATTTTGCCCAAGTGAACGCAGCTGACTAGAGCGGAATTAGAACTTGGCTCACTGATTTTACTTACTGAACTGATATCTGCTACACTCGCCGCACACCCTCTCATCGGATAAGAGACACCCTCTCGTCGGAAAAGAGACGCCCTCTTGTCGGAAAAGAGACGCCTTCTCATCGGAAAAGAGACACCCTCTCGTCGGAAAAGAGACGCCCTCTTGTCGGAAAAGAGACGCCTTCTCATCGGAAAAGAGACACCCTCTTGTCGGAAAAGAGACACCCTCTTCGTCGAAAAGAGACGCCCTCTTGTCGGAAAAGAGACGCCCTCTTGTCGGAAAAGAGAAAACTAAACTTGGAAGTGATTCGTACTTCGTTGATTATTGATTACTGTAAAAAGCTTGCAGCTTTGAATCAAACTAAACAAAGGCTAGCAAAGAAAGAAAGACATTTCTTGCCTTGTGTCAGATTAAGTAAATGTTAGTAAGTAGACAATATCAGGAAGAATGTTAGTAAGTAGACAATACCAGAAAGAATGGCCTCTAGAGATCCAAATTTAACCTTCAGCTTCATGTGTCTTTTTCGCTATCCAGTCGTATTATATATGTTCCCCCATTATATTACACCTTTTGTCACGCCTTCTTAATACGTCTGTTTGCTGACCTAATATAACACAATCATTCTTTTAAACACTACGTGATTACTGTGTTCAATCCTAAATTCTTTCATACACTGGCATCTATACGAACAAAATGTGTGTCTATGTAGACAACTAATGGCGATTTAAAATATATGAATTGATATAACATGACCATTCTTTACTCGAATATCAAAATGTATTCTTGTCAGGTCGCAACTGATCTCTTGAACGGTCTTAATGTCACAGAGATTATTATTTCATTCTTGAGAAATAGTTGGGATAATAGCTTTAGACAATTGGGTTATTCTTCTATAAAACGGTTACTTTTTGAAACAAAACACACACACACACACACACACACACACACACACACACACACACACACACACACACACACACATATATATATATATATATATATATATATATATAGGGTTTCGTGTTCACTTTAAAAAATTATAACTTTATTTGTATTTGCGATAGAAATAAGAAAGATTAGAAAGAAGTAAATCTATATTTTTTAAGGTTTTATTGAAATTTTATTTAAGTTTCCACATGTCCTCCATAATTAGAAATACAAAGGGTAATACGATTTTGTAGTTCATGGTAAACATTTGCCAACTGATTTACAGTAATACCTGAAATCACATTAGTTATTCTAGCTATATTTAAAACTTGGTACATTAAACTTTATAACATTTTTTACAGATCATTTCTATTGCAAATACAAATTAATTTATAAATATTTTAAAACTTTATGGACACACTGTATATATATATATATATATATATATATATATATATGTGTGTGTGTGTGTGTGTGTGTGTGTGTGTGTGTGTGTGTGTGTGTGTGTGTGTGAAAATATATAGAAAATAGGAAAGAACTCGTTAGGTAAATAATCCAAAGTTCTTTAGTATTTTAGTTATTATTTTTAAAAATAGTGCTCGATACAAAAGTAGAGCATAAATATAATTATTTATTCAAAAAATATGATTCCAACACGCTACATGAGACCTCTTATATAGCGTGTTGGAATCATATTTTTAAATAAATGATTATATATATATATGATATATATATATATTACAAATAAATGAAATTCAAAAATACCTCATCAGAATGGCTATTTCGCTCTGAAAGAGCTGGTCAATACTAAAAGTTAGGTAAAATAAAATAAATATGAAGCCTAACATTTTTTTTTAAATTTAAATAATAGACCAGAAGTTTAAAAAGGAGGAAAAGACGACAAATAAAAGAAAAGGGAACTAAAAAGTGAGGAAAGTGAAAGAGAGAAAAAAAGAACAAATAATAGTTGGGCAGAAAAGAAAAAGGAGGAATAAAGATTCGCCTAGAGTCTAGACTCGAGTCGAAAGTTTCAAGACGGTTGGATATTTAACATTAGAAATATTAACCTTAACTTATATTTCAAATATTAACACTTATTCAAACAGAAAAAATTACAGAAGGAATTACAACCTTTAACATAAAGAGAAGGTTTTTTAAGATTGTGTAAAAATGTTAGATGCTAATATTATAAACTAACCTAAATAAAAATTATTAGTATATAGGAAAAATTAAAACGGAATATATATATATATATATATATATATATATATATATATATATATATATATATATATATATATATATATATAGAATAGATAGGTTAGTTAATAATAAAAGGACAAACGAAAGGGTAGCAATATAATCAGTACGATAAACATTTATTAAATATTAAGTATTAATCATATGACAGAAATGAAGTGCGGAGAGAAAGGTTTTAAGTTTGGAATTTTCGGACACGCCTTTGTCCTTCATCAACAGACTGATTAAAAGGAATAAACAGAGAAATGGGAATTACTCAACGACAGATGTTTTTGTAGACAGTGTGTTTTTTGGTGGAGATCATGTTAGCAAAAACAAGATCTCCCTCTGATTCCTCAATATATATATATATGAACGCGCTTCATTATAGGTAATTTAAATAATTACTGTTATCTAAGAGAGGTAACTTTAATCTATGATTGCAATTTTAAAAAAAAATTACAATTTAAGTATTTTAAAACATTACTGTTATAGATATACGTATTTATAATTATAGCGGAGCGCGTTTCGTGCGCAATTACAAAACAATTCCCAACTGTCAATTACATTAATATTTGTCGTAGCAATTCACCCCTGAAGATGATCTTGGATGAGATTGAAAGTACTTGGCAAAATAAGTGAAATGAAAATAAACTGCGACACCTTCCTGAATAAATTTAATGTTAACATAGGGAAGTTGATCCGATAATTCGAAAGGATTAAAATTAAAATAAATAGACGTAATACATCCACATTATTCAACTAAACATGCTTGAATAAAAATAATATATATATATATATATATATATATATATATATATTTAAAAGATATTTTGTAGGTACAAAATTTAATGATCGAAATAAAAGTATAAAATTTAATATTACAAGACATATTAAACAATAAAAAAATAAAAAATAGAAAAAAACACAACAACAGGGGAGAAGCAACCGGTTTCACCCCCGCTTTTCAGGCTTCAATGGGAGATTCAAAATTAATACAGAAAAATGTACAATAAGGAATAGGGGGAAATATATATATATATATATATATATATATATATATATATATATATATATGCAGAAGGAACTAGAGACAGATGACAGCAAGTCCCAGCAAACACTCACGTTGTTTGCACAAAGAAGGCTTGCGGGACCTGATGTAAAGTGCCTCCAGAACCTTTAGATGAAATAAAGAGTGAGACCGGGCCAACACGTTGAACCAGTCAACACTAAATTTGGCTGCACAATATCTGTTCTTTAATAGATGTTCGCATATGGCGGAACTGTAGGTGTTCGGGACGAGTCCACTTAAAGGCAAGGTGTGTTTTCTAATTTTAGTAGGAACGTGCTGCTTTATTTTCATGTCTAAGCGCTGAGTTGTTCTCCCTATGTAGTTGGCTCCGCAACTACAAACGTATTTGTAAATAATTGAATTAATATGGTGGGTAGGGAGAACGTCTTTACACGCAGCTCGAAACATAGGCCGAGTTTGAAAAATAATCCGAACTTCAGCAGAGAAAAAACAACAGCAAACCTTTGATGAAATTTGTTTAGCTATTTTTTCACATTTGGTACCAATACAGGGTAATCTGAGGTAAACTGGGCATTTTTTGACAGTGTAGAGCTCGGCACTTCTGAACTCTTCAACTTTACTACGGATAACTGAATTAACAGTATCAAGAGGATAACCTAAATTACATAGGGTATCCTTAATAAAGTCGATTTCGTCGTTTTTCTTTTCAAATACAAATATAACTTGAAATTTAAACATAATCGATTTTCAAAACTAAATTCTCCATGTATCTTGCTTTCAAAATAGTTGGTAATTAAATTCATTTTTAAAGCAAAAACTATAGTGACTCTTACTTCTTCGAAAAATAATTATTTAATATTTATTTTGGAGGGGAATTTAGATTTTTTTCCTTATATTGCAAATAGCATTAACGCAGTTTCTATAAATATTTTCATGGAAATTTTTCTGATGACCTTTCCTCGTGGACTTCAAGAATTTAAGCGTAGATTGGTAGTTGGGTGTCACCATTTTACTGTTGAAAGGCCTAGATATAACCGTAAGTTCTATTCTAATATTTCCTTCTCTCGCACTTCTCGATTGTGTAACTCTCTTCCAGTTTCTTGCTTTCCAGTCAACTACGATGTTAAAAAAATGAAATGCAACATCAGTCTCCATTTTCTGTTTTTCTTGAATCTTTTATTGTCCTTTCTCCTCATTACGTTTTCTTACTTTGTGTAGCAAAAAAAGCTTTAAACTTTATTTCTTTCCTTGCAAACAATGTTTTCATATAATCGATATGCCAGAACTATTTCACAACGAAATAAATAAATCGCAAGTCCAAACTCGAAGATCCAGTGTCAGAAAGAAACGTCGAAATCACGAATCGAAGGTCCAATGTCATAAATCCCAATACACGTAAATGGTCAGGTATCGAACGCACAAGGCAAAAGTCGATTGCAATCCGGCGGACGAGGTAGAAAAATAAACTACAGTATTTATTCTGTACTAAAAATGTGGCACAAGGCCAAGGGGGGATAGGGAAAGGCTGGTCTTATAATTAAACTTAGGTAACCACAGTCACTAACCCAAATATACCACAATATTCCTTACACCAAAACAACACATTCTTAGATATCGTGCTTAATACACTCACCATAATACCACAGAATCTCTATGAAATACTAAGTAGTCCTCTTATGTACAAATTTTCGTCTGTGAGAAGTGGGGAGGGGAATAAAACGACAATTAAAAAATCTAAACCCCAGTGAGTATTTACAATGTGAAAAACTATTTACAAGAAATATTAGTCATAAAATGCACAATAATACTTAATTGTCTCAGAAACATTGGTTAATTGAACGAAATTAATGCGGGATTTGAATAATGAAAACACTAATTCTCAGCCTGATGATGATGAACCCGACAAAATTTATGAAACTGTCATTTAAATTAACTAAATTAAGAACAGTTTTTGACAATGAAAGTTTATATATATATATATATATATATATATATATATATATATATATCAAGGCGTAACATGATTAAGGACGTCTGTTTACAAATTGATATGATGGCTCAATTCGACAACGAAATAAACAAATTGCAAGTTCAA